TGTTCATGAATGGGGGCTAGTGGGATTGATTTTTATTTTTTTTTTTGTGACGTTCAACCTATGGACTACAGAGAACGTATATGTAAAAGTGGGCTATTATCTTAATATATAACACATACGTCGAAACACTATGTAAAGCACTCCTTTAGCATTTGTGTAATATATTTTTGGGAAGGCCTCCACCACACTGTGTGTTTTGTAAATGTTATTCTGTAGGTGAAAGGATGTGCTTTGTATGATAAGCTTCATAAGAAATTATATTTGTATATGGAAATGACCTTTAAAAAGCATTTATTTATTTTCTGTATGATGCCTTCTGTGTCTTATTTTTGTGAAGCGCAGAGGGGCTTCATTAAATATTCATTGAGCTTTGCTGCGGAAAGGTTAGACAGGGGTGCAAAAGGAAGCAGTCGCATGTCGAATGAGTGAAAATGCTTATTTTTGTAACACGTCTCCCGAGTTGAAAGGATCCCTTTTTAGCAAGGAAAACTCAATAAAGTTTTAAGAATTATGTAGCCTTGTGTTTATTTATCATGAGGTTAAAGCCCTCTGGCTTTAAAGCAGAGCTTTACTGAATATCGACTGCACTGTTATGCAATCAGAAATTATGCTGAGACCGTTGCATCATGGAACATGATGTAAATTGCTTAATGGGTCGATAATTTCTGGAAGGTTACCACACTAACATCAGTCGATTATTTAATAGCTACAAATCACTAGTGTGTGCACTAACCGCTGGATTTGAAATGCTCTGCATACAAACATTAAGAAATGAACATATTTATTACATTTTTTTTATTACATGACTTAATGAAATCCAAATAAATTTTAAATTTCTTTCAGAATCTGCTGGGAAGACTCAAATAAATCTAAATTCTTACACCTATAAATTACACAGTTCAATAAAATAACTAAACATCAAGTATAACATGAACACAAACATATTTGGCTCAGATTAGAGTCATCGTATAGCCTACACTTCACCCAAAAATGAAAACTAAACTGAATTTACTCAACCTCAAGCCATCCAAGATTACCTTAGCTGAGACACTGTGATCTGAAACTAAATTATTGGTTTGTGCAAGAAACTTGATTATTTACAAGATTATTTACAGGTTTATTATAACCTTTGAACCCTTTAAGGGCTGTTGGTTGAAGGTAATAATGTAAATAACGTTCTTTCTGTTCTTTCTAATCTCTGCAGTTCTTTCATAAGGTGTCAAGTTATGACCAGGAGTCGGGGTTAAAATTATTTTTAATTTAGCCCGCATGCTTCATTGTTACTGTAAAAGTGTCATCAGCTGTTTCCTTCTATTGTACGAGTCATCATCAGTGAGCACGGTTTCAGTGAGAATGTTCTTTGTTTTGTTGACAAAAAAAGTCACCTGCTTTGATTGAGGTAAAATTGGTTTTATATTCAAACATTTAGACTTTCTCCATAATAATATAATTTCATAAAAATATTCATTGACAATTCTAAATAGTAAAATCATATAAGCAACCAATGACACAAAGTACAGCCTTCTCCACAGTCAATTAAATAGTGCTAATGTTGCTTTCAAGTCATACTTGCATAATATTGTATGTCACAAGTTGTCACTGAACGAATTATAAATATATAAAACCAACGTTACCTCAATCCTGCTTTGCATCATATTAAATCAGTGGTTTTCGAACTTTTTTGACTGCGGCCCTTTTTTTTCTTTTCAAACTGACGGCGACGCACATATTCAACTGCATTTTACACACATTTAGGCTACATACAATGGATATACATACATACACGCATGTGTGTGCATAAACAACTTACATTAATTGGCCTGATGGGCCTGCTTATTTTGATCCCAAACCAGGGCGTCAGAGCAAAACGCATGTCCAGAAAAGCATTCGACTTGTTTCCTCTTCATTCTGGTTAAGCCTGGCTGAGAGTCCAGTTTTACACTTTTAGGTCACTATAGTTTATAAAAAGTAGTAGCAATGAAACTCTTCCTTTGTTCCATATCGGAAACACGGTGGAAAAACAAACTGATCCATTTTACTATTTGTTGCGAGTTTTTCAACATGCCGTCAGGTCAGCTGCAGCATTTCTTACTGTTCTTCAGGGGTTAAAATAGTCCAGCAATTTAATCTAAGTATTCAAAATCAAATGCGGTAGTCGACGAACCGCTTGTCTTTTAACTCACTGAACTTCTTAACGAGAAAGTAGCGAGAGAAATTCCCCGTTCGTGCATCCAAGTGTTACTGGATCAGTAACAGTCAGCTGTCGTTTTCTGGGATAAATCAGTTTCTTCAATATGTTATATCATTGTCGGAACAGGGAGCCTCAGGATTTGAGTCGAAGCTGCCGCAGTTCAAGTAATTTTTGGAAAGTCTGAATTTGTTTGGAATGTAGGCTATGAAAATATTGTCCTCACTATGCGCCATGTTAAAAAGCGTGATAGCACGTGCGCGTCAGGTGACGAAGATTTATTATTTGTTTCGCATCTATTTTAATGTAGATTCAATCAAAAGTTATCCTAATTGTTGTTGTTATATTGTAATTAAAAGACCATTAATAAATGTTATTGCACTTCCTTAAATCATCCTGTGCCCCTGGATTTGAAAACCTTTATTAGATGGCCTGGGGGTGAATAAATGAATATTTCATTTTCAGGTGAATAGACCCAAAGGCTCGTTCACACCAACAACAATACATATAAAAATATTTATAGCATCAACACCAATGCAATATACAGTATATACACTCACTCTTTTTCCTTTGGCTTATCCCCTACTTTATCAGACGTTGCCACTGCAATGATTGACCAGTTACCCTGGCACATGCTTTACTGGTGAATGCCCTTCCTGCCAAAACCCTGCACTGAGTGCACTACTTTACAACACCCAATGGTGGGAAACACCCATACACTCTCAAACACACACACACAGACGCACTATGTCCAATTTACTTTATCCAATTGACCTATACTGCATATCATTGAACACTGGCGCACCTACAGTATAGACCTTTTTCTTTATTGCTGCATGGAGACTCATAGCGACCACTGTCTTCCTGTAGGATGCTTAGAACTTCCGTTTACAGCATTTTTTGACTGGTAATTATCGATCCAAAAGTGGATTGTCAATACCATTTTGAGTGGATTATGGAGTGTTTTTGCAATGCACAACTTTTTTGATTTTGAATGATGTGTGTTAGCCGTTATACTGTAAATACTGTTATACTGTACTTCTTATCTGTCAGATAAGATGTTGAAATACAGAGTAAGTGTTCCTGACCAGTCATCTGTTATACTGTGCTCAATGCGCGCACACACATAACACACAATACATCACTGTATTACAGAGCAAACCATATTACTGGCATGAAACTTCTAAAACGTATCTTACTGATACTCTGCTGGCTGTTGGATTACCAAGTGATTTTCTGTCATTTCAAAATGCCACTTTATTTTCACTTTGTGCCACTCTTTCAGTGTGTTAGTGTGTTTGTTTGGGTTGGTTATATATATAAAAAAAGAAAATGTTGACTTTAGTGATGAGGCTCCATTTAAGTGGCACAAGATGCCATCTGACGATGACTTGTTTTACATTCCTATTAGATTGTATTTTTTAGATTATCAGTCCAGAAGGTGGTGCTAATCAACAGCGGTATCAGTTTAAAAGACCATAAAAGCAATGAAAATCGATTAAAAAAACTATAGTTTCAAAGCAATCCAAATTTGACTCTATACGCATAAAGCTGCCGACCGAAATTCGAAGCATCCTCCCTCCACATACACGCAAAGCATAATGGGTAATTTTACGTTCTATGAAAAAGGTCTATGCAGTACCCATGCGGAACACTAAGAAAAGCAGGATGGATTCTGATTGGCTGTCCTGAAAAAGTTCTTAAGGGCTCTGTATACTTGAAATGTAGTTCTTTTTCCATCCTCGTTGGGGGGCAAATTCAAGTTCAAAAAGGTTGTGAGACGGTATAAAGTTTTCGAACATTGTGTTGCAGTAGGCAAGGTGGTAAATGTGTCATGCTCCTTGTGTGTAAACAACACAACAATAATGGCAGCTGAGAGAGATGAGATCAGATGTGAAGTGCCCCCAAGACATGCCACATTTTTACATTGTATTTTATTTGCTGCAAATAGACACTGAATGTAAAGGGGGTCGCACATCGGATGCGCCACTCCACAACGAGCTGCATTGCACCATGCAGCACAATACATTTTAGAATTTTAAGCATATGTTTTTATCGGTACGAACACCGGCACTGCAAGTCGGTGGCAGTCCGCAGAGCCCAGCCACGACTCAGGACTTTGGTGAGCTGTTTTGAACTATTTATTTGAACTATTTAATTTGAAGTATACTTGGGCCTTAAAATAAATTTTAAACATATCTTTCCTCTGCTTTTGTCATAGTTTAGTCTGTAATCATTATATCTGGAGTGACTTTTCAAGCCATATCTTTATCATCAGCACTATAAGTTATTATCCTTGGTGTGATCAGGCCTTTAGACTCTAGACGCCTTTCGCCCGCTGAGGGTAACCTTTGAAAGCTCATCAGGGCATTCGGTCACAGTCGCGGGTGGTTATTACCTTCAGCACCTCAAATACATGACATCACCAGCTCTTCTAAAACGAGGAACATCTCACCTTCCTGTCAAACCACAGACCTCTCCACACGTCCAAAAGTAAATATTACCAATGGTTTCACACCATCCTCCACGATCCCATCATTCTCACAGGCTGATCCTGCTATGACATGTCAGTGGTCCAGCTTCTGTCAAATATGTTTACCATCACAATGCATGAGAACATGAAGACAGCGAAACAATTTGTTTCTTATGTCTCTCCGCCTCTGCTCTTCACCCTCCAGTCAAGGAGTTCATTGTTGGGGCACATGAACTGCTTCTGTTGGCGTCATGGGCTGAGGATCAGCTGAAGAAAGGCTAGCAAATGACAAATGGCACAAGAGTTTTGTTTGAACACATGGGTGCATCAGGGGGTCAGTTAGAAGTCTGTGTCCCAGCCTGACATTTCATCTGGAGGGATTTCTTCTTCAGGAGGATAACTATCAAAGTAACTGTGGTCAGTGGGTCCCTTCACCTGAAGAAAAAAGAAAGATGGAAGTGAAAATATGAAACTTTACTGTTCAAAAGTTTGAGGTCAATAAGGGTTTTCCATTTTAACCATTTTACTGCATGCTCAAACAAATGGTTGACCATGTTTTTACTGTTTTAAATAAAGACTGTTTTATATAATTGTTACACATACATTATTGTTGATTTACACAAAAAAAACTACACTTGATTTTGGTTTTATTGTAAAAATAAACAAACTAGAAAACATGTTAAATGACAATCTGAAATATTTTTTTTCTAAATAAAGATAGTTTAGTATTCAAAAATTTTTATTCTGAATATTTTTAAATACATTGGTCTTACACTTCTTATTTTCTGATTTTTCATAGTATATGTAGTAAGTCCGGTACTTAAACCATAAAATCGACATATCAACAATTTGGTATTTTTGATATTTTACAAATTATGGGATGTGTTAAAAGAAATGTATTGAGTGTGTTAACTAGCAACGTTAGAAGTTAAGACATGCTATCCAGAAAACATTTTTTGGTGGGGCAGTTAAAGAGTTAAATCATTTTTTTTCTTTTATTCAACATGACAGGGAAGGCATTTCTAATATAGTTAAAGATTTTTATTTCAAATAAATGCTGTTTTTTTATCTTTCTGATTATTATTAAAAATAATTTTAACGTTTATAATATTACTACAATTTCTTGAGCATCAAATCAACACATTTCTTAAGGATCATGTGACACTGAAAACAAGTTATGAAGCATGAAAAGCTGTCATCACAGGAATAAACTACAATGGAAAACTGTTATTTGAAATGGTAATATTTATGTTTTACTGTATTTTTGGTCAAATAAATGCATTGCCAACTTCAAACTTGTAAACAGTGGAGTATACAGCACAGTATGATACTACATTAAAATGACCTCTAGACAATGAGTTTGTGTCTCTTACCTCTCTTTTAAGTGGTGATATCAGATTTCGGGCTTTCAGACCACTCCAGCTAAAACCTGTAAACCATCTAAACACCAAAAACAACATACTGCCTTATTATAAATGAAATGCCTTTAAGTGACACTGACACAGATCTCAAAGTTAGTGTTTGTGGATCATGCCCACTTTAGAAGTGCCAAATGCATATATAATGTTTCCTAACATCATAGAAATCGTTAGCAAATGCAAAAGAGTAAACATCCAAGAAATTAAAGTAAGGAAGCATTTATTAAACACAATGCTGTGTTGTCATTTATGTCACAATTTTGACTGTTTTTCTTATGTGCGTGGTCATTTTAGAGATAATCTAATGTAAGCAACAGCATGGAATGCACTGTAATGTACATTATTCTGCTTATTTTTGTAGTGTAAACCAAGTAAAAGATGTGTTAGTTGGTAAATCACAGATGCCCACACTCAGTCCTGGAAGATCAGTGTCTTGCATAGTTTTGCTCCAACTTGCATTAGGTTAGGTGTGTCCAATTGAGGTTGGCGCTAAACTATGCAGAACTCTGACCCTCCAGGACTGAGTTTGGGCAGCCCTGTGCTAAATCATCTAGAAAAGAACTATGCAGAAAAAGGTGCACTACTCTGACTGAATTTAATAGGCTCTTTTCTGTTTGACTTGTCATAACCTTTGGCAGGCTTTAAGAAAACAATAATTTGGTTCAGATCAATAATGTGTGTTAGAAATTCTTACTCTTTAAATAAAATGATGTACATTTTTGGTATATAGATCACAACACTTTCAAGCCTACCCCATTCACAAGTATCTGCTAAAATGACTAAACCCCTCTAGACTTTACATATAATAAACATTCACAAAATCATGTTTTTGTAGTTTACCAGGAGACAATAATAGTGTAGTTATCAAAAATCCAACTTTTCAGACCTACAAAACCCCATTGCTGTGTAAATGAACAAGCAAAATGCTTGAAGGTTTTGCTTTTTAGATAAAACGCTGTAGTGTAAATGTCACCCTTGTGAGTTAAACAACAGATGTTGGTGCAAACTGTTTTCTCACCTGTGCTTTTTAATATCAGTTATTCCATTCTTCAGGTTGCCCAGTCGCTCTGAAGGGTTTTGTCTTCATGAAATAAAATTAGACAACAAAACAATATTATAAAATATTGCACTGGGACCCAAACAGTTGCAGAAAAGAGGCGAAAGACATAAGATTGAGTAATGAATGATGCATGATCATACCTGCACAGCTTTCGAATAAGGTCACCTGGCCTCTTGGTGATCTTTTTCGGGAAGTCCATCTTCTCAATTCCTTTCAGAATGAATGTATATATAATCATCTGATCTGAGCCAGTAAAAGGCGGGCTTAAGGAACAATCAGATCAGATATGTCTCTGTTAGTTAGAGCACATCTTCCTCCACACTGTATTTATGACAAAAAAGTAAAAAGTTAAGCTGAAACAAACCTTCCAGTAAGAAGTTCAAATATCAGGATTCCTAAAGACCAGAAGTCGACACTAAGCCCGTGGCCTTTATTGAGGATGATCTCAGGCGCCACATACTCTGGAGTCCCACAGAATGTCCATGTCCTCTGGCCACACTTCAGCTTCTTGGCAAAGCCAAAATCCACCTGACAGAAGATAATAAAGGACTTTTCAAAACTCAAAACTTTGACACATCTAGCTCAAAACTCAGCTTTAAACCACAAATAAAGGAAAAATTCACACTTGTAATTCAGAAGCAGGATTAATGTGTTAAATTCTCAACCTGAATGAAGAAGAGACATTCTTACATTTATAGTCATTCAGAAAAAAAAAACTTGCGCAAACGGAAATATGTAACATGACATAAGCACATAAAATGTTAGAGCCTTTATGTAAACAGGTCAAATGCCACAATCACCCAATTGGTGACATTGCAAATATGCAAATAAGGACATTTAAAATGGTTAAGAATGTAAAGTGTAAAACGTTATCATATGAATACATATAAAAATTTACATGCATTTAATTATATCACTTCCACAAAACAAATTCAGTATACCTCTAAATGATGCACTAAAACTGTATAGTATGCAAATCTACTTTAATTAAATAGTAATTTAAACAAGTAAATCATCACATTTTTTCATTATGCATCCTTTATATATTAATGTCTTTGCTACTAATGTCGGATAATGCAATAATTTTTAAGGTCTAAAAGGTTTGTTTGACATGCGCCTCCACTAGACAGATGTAAATTTACATTTCCTTAAGCCTAAGACTTGTCATCTCAGACATATCATTCAAATAATGCATTACTTTTTATAAATGCAGTAAACGAGTAAGGCGATATTGTAATGCATTAATTTAGGTAACTTTCCCCAGTGCTTCCCCAAGGATAACTAATTGTAGCGTGGAAAACCCTGAAGTGATTTCGAACTGATGTTTGCTGCTCTAAAGCTCACCAACTTGACGTATCCATCTGTGTCCAGCATCAGATTCTCAGGCTTTAGGTCTCTGTATATGATGCCATTATTATGCAGATAGTCAAAAGCCTCTGTTACACAGCCCACGCAGAACTTTGCAGTGTACTCTTCAAAACTCCCCCTGTATTAACACGGAGACACTTTTAGCATACTCCTCAATCCCGGAAAACATCCATGCAGTAGAGCTGACCTGTCCCTCAGAAGACTCCAAATCTCTCCACCCAGACAGGCCTCCAGCAGCATGTACACATACTTGTTGTCTTTGTATGTGCGATACATTCTAGGAGCAAAAATAAAATATATTAGATCAAAACATTAATAAGTACATGTTTAATGTCATTTTTGGTTACACTCTTCAACAATTAACCCATGGGAGTCAGTTGATATCTTTTCTTCAAAGCAATTCACAATGAAATTACCAAGATATTTCCTAAAAATGTCACTAAACAGACATTTCTACGACAGTATGATCATGCTAGACTAACATACTTCACAATGAAAGGACAGTTTGTCTCCAGCAAGATCCTCCTCTCAGAGTAAATGTGCTCTTCTTGTCTGTTATCCACAATGTGCCGTTTCTTGATGCATTTTAGAGCAAATGTCACATTTTCATTCTTCAGTTTCACCTGGAACACAACTGGCATCATTATTGCTCATATCACTTTTTTATTCAGTGTAAATGATGATTTATGTCCTGAGGAGGAAGTGTGAATATTGTGAATAAACTTCTAACCAGTTCAACTCTGCCAAAGCCTCCGACTCCCAGAGTGGCAATAGCCTCAAGGCAGGTGAAGGGTATAGTGGATGCAAAGCTGCTCTCTCTCTCCTTTAGCTCGATCATGTCATGTGACACTGGTGTGTTGGGTGGAGTGCAGCTTCCTGACCTCCTGAAAGAACACGCAAGACGTTTTAGAGAAAGGAGATGATCAATATTTTGGCCATTCATTTTAAAACAGCCACTGAGCTATAATATAATTTCACAGTGACAAATCTGTGTTTTTAGCAGGTTAAAAAAATTCTGAAATTGTCAAAAATACAGTGGATTCAAAAGGTTTAAGATCACGTTGTAGATTGAAAATATTTGATCCCTTTAGATGGGATTTAGCAATAAAAAAAAACAACCAAGTGAAAAGGGGAGGTGGCTTAGTGGTTAGCACTGTTGCCTCACAGCAAGAAGATTGCTGGTTCGAGTCCAGTTGGCATTTCTTTGTGGAGTTTGCATGTTGTCCTCGTGTTTGCATGGGTTTCCCCCACAGTCCAAAGTCCAAGGTGAATTGCGCAAACTAAATTGGCCGTAGTGTATGAGTGTAGGTGAATGTGAGAGTGTATGGGTGTTTCCCACTACTGGTTTGTGGCTGGAAGTGCTGCAATACTGTAGTTGGCAGTTAATTGTGTTGACTTCTGAATTAGAGACCAAGCTGAAGGAAAATGAAAGAACCAGGTGAAAAACATGTGACATTAACCACTGTTTGCAGAAAATGCTTGGAAATGTAATATTGTAAGTTCACAAAAATTCAAGAGAAACATTTCATTAGTGACCTCACAACAGATATACAGATAAATAAGCGGACTGTGGATTGAAATGTTTTTAAGTGAAATATGCTGCTTTTAAACTAGTCAAGATTTTAAATTAACACCACATAATATGTTAAGCAATTAGCAATGCGTAACAATCCTAAGAATACAAATTGTCACACTGTTTCACACTGATTCCATAGACTAACCATTTTTCATAAAAAAACCTTTTAGTAAATTAATAGTGTAAATAAAATTATAACATGTAGAACCTTTTACAAAGTGTGATGAAAAGCTTCTGTGGGCATTAAAAAGGTTCTACATGGAACCACTCAGGTCCATATAAAGTGCTTATTTGTTAAATATGTATGTAAATGGTGGATTCATCCGTCCTGGCAGTTGGAGATATGTGAAAAATATTTTTCCTTTAAGCCTTGATGCTGTATGTGAAAAACTATGTTTACAGCACAGTACTTCATTAATTAATTCATTCGTTCATTTTCATTTGGCTTAGTTGCTTATTTATCAGGGGTCGCCACAGCGGAATGAACCGCCAACGACTCCAGCATATGTTTTACGCAGTGGATGCCCTTCCAGCCACAACCTAGAGCTAGGAAACACCCATATACTCTCACATTCACAAACATAGTCTACGGCCTATTTTGTTAACCTAATTCACCAATAGCGCATGTCTTTGGACTGTGGGGGAAACCCATGCGAACAAGGGGAGAACATGCAAACTCCACACAGAAATGCCAACTGACCCAGGCAGGACTCAAACCAGTGACCTTCTATCTGTGAGGCAACAGGGCTAACCACTGAGCTACCGTGATGCCCACACAGTACTTTGAAATTATACAAAAAAACAAACCAATACTTACTTAGCATTTCTTTTCTTATCATCTCGTGCCAAACTATCGACATAGCTCTGAAGATACTTCTTAAGCTCGTCAAAAGTTCCAACAGTCTGACTGAAAGTTCTGTAAGAAGATAATGTTGTTGTTACTGAGTACAGAGCTAAATCAAAATCAGCTGAATGATGGTGATGTTGAAGTGAGAACTCACTCTCGATCGATCACAAGGCACTCCACACCATCCTCTTCTGCGATTATATTTGCAGATCTCACATCATCACTGTTGTGGGACAAAGCAGGAACTCATTAAGTGTGTTACACGTCAACTCAACTCAACAGATGTCTTCCAAAATGAAAAGTTTATGGATTTGTTTGTAATAATATTCTGTTAACTAATAAATAGACGACATGAATGTTCTCTGTTGCTGTGGGAAAAGTCCTCATATACAAAAAGCTTTTTAAATCTGGATTAAAGTGGGGGAATGAAAATGGAGCAGGGGTTGAAGAAGAGCAGCACCTGATGAGGGCCTTCTCTCCGAAATAATCCCCCTTCCCCAAGGTGTTGATGATCTGAGGCTCTTCATGATCCTGTGTGCTCTGTGTGACTTTAATCTGCCCAACACAGAAAGACAGAGGTCAGGTTACAAAAAGTACCAAGAACAAAAGTTGTTTTTATATTGCCTTATTTAATATGTATATATGCATAAATATATATTTAGTCACTTTATTATATAAGGACATTTCAGAGAAACACAATTCAACAAATTGTATCCAGTTATAACTGATATGGAAGAACTGGGGTCGGTTCATTGAATTCTCAATCCTGTAAAATGATCCATAAAACCACAGTGACCTGCTTGACCTTACTGATAGGCCATTTTTTGGTGGCCAGCACTAATGGCTTTATTCCCAACATGCTCTCGGACATGGTGGAGACAGGCTGACGAGAACCATCATTTCCGGTAATTAAATTCTCTCTCCCTCAGTAAAACATCGTGCTTCCCCCCCATCTTGAGCGACAGTGGGGCAGGAATCAACAGGGGATCCGAGCCTGGCCAGCTCATGCTAAACAGTTCCTGTTGCTTCCCAGCGGAGAGTCCTGTCTCTTAACCCCTTCAGTGTCGAATTACTGATTTATCTGAACGCGCTCGACCTCCCACAGCCCCACATCAGCATCTGCAGTGAAGTCCATGAGGATTAGTGGACTGGAAAAATGGTGCTGCATGTGGGTCAAATCGCTTTTGTTTTTGTTTTTTGATGGTTATCTCTAGCATCGAATGGGTTTGTTCATTATTGCATTTACACTATTTTTAGCTATTTTTAAGTTTTACAATCAACAAAAATAAGGTAGAAAAATGACTTTCTATCATTTCAATTTTGAAAGATGGTGTTTTCTAAATAAACCTGAATGTTGGATGTGCAGAACAGCAGATTGGAAGTGACTATATATATGCATCTTAAAAGGCCTCATCATCTGACAACAGCAGACATATACTGTACAGAAATAAGAACAGCTTTTGTGAAATTAAAATAAGAAGTGATTGTAGTAAACAATGTAAAGGGCTGACAGTATGATCATATCACAAATGCAAATTCAATCTGATCCAGTGTCATTCAGATTAGGTTCAGTCAGGTTGATGCAGATGTTTACATGAAGGCTGTTAAATCTGACAGATTATCTGGTTGCATGTACTGTAAACATAGCCATTTTTGTCTTCTTGTTAAGCAAATGGTTATTTGAATATGTATAAAAATTTTCACTGCTTCTGTGAATGCTAATGTTTTATAATTACTGTATGAGCAGTGTCTTATTTTCATGTAGTCGTAGCCAGTTCTGTATTAAATAATCTTTATCTTTTTTTAACATTAGATTTTGGCCAATCATATATTAGGATAAGAAAAAAACAAATGCCCACAGAGCAACCACTTCATTTCATCTTGATTTTTGTATTTAGTGAAATGTTAATCAAAAAACCACACATTTGGTTATCTGGCCATTTTTAAAGCCACAATACAGCGTTTAATATCGCAGTGTTAGTTATTTATTTAAATACAGGTATTTTCAAATTTCCAGAAAAGAAGAAGGTCTCGAACTAGGATGTTCAAACTCAGTCCAAGAGGGCCGGTGTCCTGCATATTTTAGTTTCAACCCTAATTAGACACACCTGAACTAGCTAATCAAGCTCTTTCTCGGTATATACTAGAAACGTCCAGGCAGGTGTGTTGAAGGAAGCTGAAGCTAAACTATTCAGGACAGCAGTCCTCCAGGACCAAGTTTTAACACCCCTGGTTTAGACAAATGACCCCAGTTTCACAGACAAAACTTATGACTAGTCATAGATTAAATTTCATGCTTGAGTTGTCTTAATTGAAAATAATTTATAGTGAGATATCTTAAAATATGTCAGCACCATAGATTTATCTTAGGATGCACACTGCATCCTAATCTGTTTTTCTAAGTAATTTTTATTAAAGCTGTTCAAATAAACTAATTCAACAAAGGTCTAGTCCTAGCTTCAGCTATGTCCTGTTTGTGAAATGGGGCCACAGGTTTATCCTCTGACCGGAACAATATGTAATATCATGGACTAAGACATAATTTAATGTTAAGCTTAATACACAAAATACAGTAACACAAAAGAAGTTGACAAGAATATACTGCAATTTACCTTTCCATTGGCAATTATATAAAAGGTGTTTCCTTCCTCTCCCTCCCGGATGATGTAATCTCCTTTATTATAATACTCCTGAGCAGGAAACACAAGACAAAACTTATTTAGCTATTGATTTTACCATCCAGCCACTGCTGTCGTGTTCCCGGAGAGATTCCCCTCAGGGAGACAACAGGAAGGCTGTCATGTCTGCTTCCACAGGGATATCAGAAGAGACATCTACTACACATACATATTTCAAACAATGTTTTGTGTCAGTTTTGTTGATGAAAAATTGACAATTAAAACATTTAAGTTCAAACCCTTTATATTAAAAACAATTATAAACTCGTATGAGAACTGGTAATCTTTCAGAGTAAGCTTTTACATGACCAAAATGTGTCCATTTCCTTGAGGACTCTGTGCTTGAACTGCTATTCCTTCAACTATTGGTGAACAAGAAGGCTTTTTCAAGCAATTTACAAAGATAATGTTCGATTTACATAGGAATTTGGTGGATTTAATTTAAAAGTAAGCTCAAATCTCGTCAACAATGTATGACATAATGTTCTGCCAAACTGATTAATTTAAGCATTTGATAACATTTTAGTGGTCCATCAGATCTCAGAGTCTTCATTTCTCTGGTCCTCGCTCTTAACCGATCTCCACCCCCAACTGTCTTTCTGACAGAGTTCTGCTGTTTCATTATGAGCTATCTAAGCATGCCACACTCCGCTTAGGGTCTCAAAACATTTGTTCGCTTCTCGTGTCCCGTCTGCATTCCATTTCCCACTGTTTAATGATAGAGTTCCACATTATCTGCATGTTTCAGTCCAAAACATCTGGGCCACTATTGGGTTACATTGCTTCCTTACCCCTAGAGAGGAGAATATAATCAACTCCATCGGAGTGATTGAATAACGACATTCTCCCATTCGACCCCAGGGGCCGACAATCGAGAAGAATGTCCTTGATGTTTTTTCAGCATGGAAGAACACGAGGAGGCTTATTTGACGTTGAGTTGACAAAGCCCACACTCTTTTAGAAAAACTCACTTTGGCCCCTCATGGAGAAATGGAATAAATCAGTCAGCAGCCTACTGTGGCTGCTGCAAACATCTTTAACAAATCACTCGTCCCCTCGATTGGAGCGAAAACTCTGCTCTGTCTTAGTCAAATAACTGTGGTAAAAATATACTGGGCCAGGTGGTGAAAGATGGAATATCAACACTGTTTGTTCAGAATTAGCACTTCAGAGTGAGACATCTGAAGACTATTCACTACAGATGGGTATATTGGATCAGATGGCATTGGTAAATCCTTTTTTTTAACCATCAGATCTTACTAATGTTAAAAAATGTTTTACTTACCACCTCTAAGCAGTCCACAATCTTTGTTAGCTTGTCCCCAGGAAGACTGGCAAGAAGTGAAACACTGTAAAATAAAATAAAATAAAATAAAATAAAATAAAATAAAATAAAATAAGATAAAATAAAATAAAATAAAATAAATGTTAATAAATTTAAATAAAATAAATAAAATAAAATAAAATAATTAATTAAAAAATAAAATAACAAATAAAAAATATAAAATAAAACAAAGCAATAAAACAAAATAAAATAAAATGTTAGGACATTTGTAGAAGACAAGCCATTTTTTTCATACTATTTCAATAGTATGTTAATCATATTGGCTTAAATTTTTATCTATGATAGTCACATGACTAAACTGATTTACCAATTTAAGACTGCCCCTTTTACTCAGATAGAATCAATGGTTATGGAGAACAGTTGTGTTTATTTCATCTTGTTAGATAATATCTCTATATCTTTGCTCATTAGAATGTCTTTGAGAGGCCCTAAATTGAATTATGGCATTTTCATCCTTTCATGTATGTTATTTAAACAGATAGTTATATAAGAAAGGCCCCAAAGGTCACTTCAAGCAGACCGTTAAGGCCACTGACCTCTACATTATCAATAACACGGCTAATACAAAAAAAAAAACTAGCTATAGGTTGTGTGTTTGATCTCCACAACACTTCACACAAAAAACACTCTTTGAAGTTTTCCCGTCAGCTAATGCTTGGCTACACATTATGTGGTAGGACACCACAGTAAACAGTGGGAGGGATGAACAGTTTGCATTACCTTCTCAGGAAGTTGCGGTATTGCTCGTGTCGAGCCTCGGCAGTCATGCGCATGATGTTGTGGAAGACTTCTCGATCCAGAGCCCATGTCTTCACATTGCTGGCCGCTGTGATCAAAAACAAAACAGCAGGTCAGGGAAATACCAGGAGCTCCCTCACTCCTCGCTGAGTGTCCATTTAAACTTCAGCGGTTCAGTGACTTCAAAACAACAGCTGCTTCTAATAGGCCCATTAGGAAGTCATTACATTTTATTGTGGTGAATTAGTAAATGAAAATGTTGAAAATAAAATAGGCAAGAGTAAAAAACTATTTGTTTAACATTAGGAATGCTAAAAAGGGTTACTATGTATTAATTAGATTATAAACCTTACCATTTTGTGAGTGAGTGCACTAGGGCGCAGATTTAGGATAGATAGAGGGGACTTGTCCCCACCAATATCCACCGACCATAGAAATGTCCCCACCAATAATTTAATCCACTTTTTAAAAATCGTGCTGTCAACATTAACCTAGACACGCAGAAAGGGTTAAATCATGTTCTCTCCTTGAGTCCTCCCGCCCCCAAAGCGCATATGGACATTTTGTTTGGCTGAGACTTTCCCTACAATCATGTGAGAGGCTGTGGCTGCCTTTAGATATGAGCAGTGCCAGTGGATTGTTTTTTTTCCCGTGTATGAATAAGGTATTTTGGGTGACACACAAGTGAGAATGGTGACAGCAAAAAAAAAAAAAAAGTGGACATAAGGTGCTTTTTTAAAAAAAATCTAAGCCACATAAATGCAAATTCGCTACTGAATGGATTATCTTGAAATCTGTTAAAACTTGTTTTAAATTAAAACACTGAAGCCTATGGGCAAATAACAAACTGGCCAGTACATTTAACTTTCCTCAGTCAGGGTTTGTCCAGTTGAATAATTAGAAAATTTTTAAAATAATAATAATAATCCAACTTCTGGGGCCTCATGTACGAAGACTTGTGTTGAATTCATACTAAAAACATTGCGTACGCACAAAGCTGTAAATGTGCGTATGCAGTAAAAAATTCTGATGTATGAAACACTGCGTACGCCGAATCACACGCATATTCTCTTTGTACATCTGAATGAACCTGAAACTGAGCGCACGAGCGCAAAACCCCTCCCTGCCTCCTCCCCCGTATTAACATGCTAGTTATTATACTTTGGCAAAACCCAACAAAAAAGCAATGGCAAAAGCAAGCAAAAAGAGAAACTTTGAACAGAATGTGATTTGGAGGTGCTGCTTTCGGAGGTAGACCGGAGAAAAACGGGGTTATTTGCAAGTTTGTCCTCCAGAATTAAAAACAAAAGAAAAAAATTGAGTGGGAGAGTTTAGCTGATGCGGTTAACACAGTTGGGTCTGAACATCACACTGAGTGGATTAAAACAGAAATAGTGCGATGTATAGGTGTGAAATTTTGTGGCGACCATAACAGCGTGAGTGGCGTAGCACGTAAAACACATGGCAACACGTTTTGACACGTTCGAGCATGAACTCGGTTTGAATACAGCGTCTGATGAAGACCTTCTTTTTTCCCCCCGCTACATATCAGATTTTGACTACTCTTCATCAAGAGGAAGACAAGTAGGAATCATTAATAAGTGTGTGCATCATATATTATTTGCACATTTATTGAATGAAAATGTTTCTGATTCACATATACAAATTTCTTGGCTTTAAGTGGCACCTTTATAGCAATGTGCGTACAGTCGATCACTCCGATTACATTGGGAAAACTGGCAACTGCTGCAAATTGCGCTTTAATGTTTGGCTGGTCAACTGCATGGTATGGAAACCTTATATACCTGCTAGACATGCGGATGAACCTGTCCCATACAGCTGCCATTACACGGCTCAAAGATACTTGGTAGTGTGCAATTTAACACAACTGCTTCTGGAAGTCGCCAGTGACTCTTCTATACAGCTTAAAGTGACATTTGAAGGCTTAACTATGGTAATTAGGTTAATTGAGAAGGTTAGAGTAATTAGGCAAGTTATTATAATAATGATTTATTCTGTAGACAATTGAAAACAAAAGTTAGTTTAAAGGGGCTACTAATTTTGTCCCTAAAATGCTTTTATTCTAGCCGAAATAAAACAAATAAGACTTTCTCCAGAAGAAAAAAAATATTATCAGACGTACTGTGAAAATTTCCTTGCTCTTTTAAACATCATTTAGGAAATATTTAAAAAGGAAAAAAAAAATTCAAAGCGGGGCAAATAATTCTAACCTCAACAACTCTATGTATGTATATATATATAAATGGCGACGCAGTGGCACAGTAGGTAGTGCTGTCGCCTCACAGCAAAAAGGTCGCTAGTTCGAGCCTTGGCTGAGTCAGTTGGCATTTCTGTGTGAAATTTGCATGTTCTCCCTGCGTTCACGTGGGTTTCCTCTGGGTACTCCGGTTTCCCCCACAGACCAAAGACATGGGGTACATGTGAATTGGGATTGGCTAAATTGTCCATAGTGTATGAGTGTGAATGAGTGTGTGTGGATGTTTCCCAGAGATGGGTTGTGGCTGGAGGGATATCCGCTGCATAAAAAGGTGCTGGATAAGTTGGTGGTTATTACCGCTGTGGCGTCCTCTTTTTTAATAAAGGGACTAAGCTGAAAAGAAAATTAATGAACGATTGAACATATATATGAGTGCATATACTGTGCATGTGAATGGCTGTATTTAATTTTCTGTCATGTTGTGTCTGGTGTAAACAGCCAAATTGCTTATCACTGCAAATCTCCTCATATAGCGTGTTGTTAGGACACAGGGTTACAATGCAATCTGCTCACCTAATGTTTACGTTTGTAATATTTTTATGTATTATTTACATTATTATAATATTTATATTATTTGCTAATTAATAAACACCTCGTGTGGAGTTCTGAATCTGCATCTCAGTTTGGATTCTGCAACTGTCCACTGGAGGTCGCATTTCGGTCACGGGCACAAGCCTTTCTGACTGAATAAATGAATGAAATAAGAGGTTTTCCACCAAGGCAACCCGGGGTGCAGAAATTTTACTGGCTAAACTGGCATTGGACAGGTTAAAAGAACTAAAACTGCATTTTCAAAGCAAAATATCTGACTTCAGCATTGTTTTTTTTTTTTTAGATAAACAAGAATGCTCACTTGGCATGTTTCTTAAATATCGGCAAACATATTATGGTATTTTTATGCTTTAGAAGGGTCAAAAATTATAATACAGCACCTTTAAGAATAAACCTCCGGGAGAATGTACAACTTAACATGATAATACTAACAATAAAAATGTACTCTAAATCAAGAGGGATATTATGACTACAGTCATTTGAACACACAAACAAGTAAATGAAATTACTGGCCAAACCAATGAAATTACCACTACAAGACAGAACAATGGTGTTTAGTTCAGACTGGTGTTTATCGATAGCCTGAGGCTGCATGTGGCCAATCTATGATCACAGCGTGAGCTGAACACAAAAAAAGCTGTTGCACAAGGACAGCCTGAATTATGTGTGAATCAATTACGTAACATATTTGTCAAAAACAGAACTACACTACTGTGGGACATCACAATGAAAAAGAAGAAATGAATACTTCACCTTTGACTGATGCAGTCCTGGTGCAATTGTACAAGATGGCCAGTTCACCAAACGTGGTCCAGACTGCTATTGATGTGAGCAGTTTGTTGTGCTGATAGACGTCCAGCTTGCCATCTATAAGAGGAATTAGTATTTAAACACAGATTATTTGTGCTTTCCAAATGTAATTGCAACTTATTTCACTTTAAATTGTTTGCCCTGTTTGTGAGTTTGTTCTGATTTACTCTACAGTGATAAAATTGACAACTGCGAGTAATAAGGGCTGTAACCACAACAGAAATTAAGCTGGACAAGTTCCTACCATAAATTAGAAATCGCAAAACTATCCCTAACAATATTTGAGATTTTTGCTTTTGATTTGGCTTTAGCTTTAGCTTTTTAAAAAGTGATCATCACTGTGAACGTGACTGAGATGGCCATTTCTATTAAAGATGGGTAAATTAGTTTCAGAAAAAAAGCATAAATTGTGACAATGAGGTTGTGTAAGACTGATCTAACAAAACAATGCATATTTGACAACTGTTAAATATTAACAAATAATGAATATAACTGCTACAAATATGTTAAACAAGTAACAGTAATATGCTACTAAAAAAAGTTAATGTCAAGCCCTGTTAAAAATAATATAAAAAATTGTGGTAATAGTTTATTTGAAATTACGAATAGCCTATCCAATAACAGGGCATTAAATTACACATTGTTTATTTCTTTGCATTTAAACTTAGTAAAATATAAAATCATGTTTCTCCTCATGTTTTGTATCAGATTTTTTATTTTTTTTGTCTTGAGTCAGTGTGCCAACGGTTGTTTGCCCTTCACTTTTTTACTTGCTCCATCAGCCATGCCAACTCCTCCCTCTGCTCGCAGTGCTCCATGCCCATCTCAGAGCATTTAACAAAAAATATAAGGTACTACTTATCACCATCTTTAAAGATATTGTTGATGTGTAGTAATTAAAGTGGTTCCTCCAGGATTACGAGCAAAAAAAAACATTTTAGTGCTAATTAGCATCATTTTTAGATTATAAGCAGATATATAACAGTCTTAAAGTGTTCTTCATGGTTTTGCCTAATCAGTGTAATAAAACAATCAATTATGCAATGGATTTATACCTGCAAGCACAAACAAGTGGTTTCCAGGCTCTCCTTGTTTGATGACATACTCTCCCTGCTGGTAGGTCCGTTCATACATACATTCGACCATGTCTTTGACCTGCTGCACTTCCAGTCTCCTCAGATACTGGTTCTTATTCAGAGCATCTGTCAGGAGCTTCTTTACACTGTTGGAAAGACATTGACAACAAAGCGGTGACAACAAAGACAAGCTGTCAATATTTGCCATGAGACAATCAGAAGAATAAGATAAAGATAAACACTGTTTGACAGCTGTGACATAGTTAAACTTGGATCATATGGGATGACCGAAAACAAATTATTCAAGTGGGACTAATTGGAAAGTTCACGCTATGAAGCACACCAGTTGCTTTATTTTCACTGTTAAAATAGAGACTGGATAATTAATCTCAGCGTGATGTTTTGCAGGGAGATTAGACCAATTTAAGCCTTCCAACATAATGACTATCTGTGCACATGGTCTCTCCTGAGCTTAGCATATGAAAAACATACACTAATTACCAAGATGAAGAAATAGCACATCTAATTTAGCTGTTGAGGTTGTTTGATGCAGTAATGAATATTCCGGTGTAAATTCTCACACATACAGTAAATAATGTGAACTCATACACACACAAAGCCTCCCAGGGTAACCTATTAACTTAACTTAAGATATTAACCAATAGTTAATCAAACAAAAAAATAAATAAATAAAAAAAAAACTGCCTTTTAGAAAAACGTCATTTAGATCAGAAACACACTTAATTTTATTTAAAAACATTAAGTTTGATCATGTCAATTTGTTTTTGTCTCTTCTTCTTTAAAACAGTTTTGTCTTAACAATCTCAACAACCAATGAAACAGGAATATTTGAGACTGTATTTGCACATGTGATGTGATGGTATTTTGGGAAAGAGGTATGTTCATGAACAACATTGTAAATGTATACTGTAATGTACAAATGCTAACGCCAGGCATTATACAGTGAGGAAAATAAGTATTGAATATGTCACCATTTTTCTCAGAAAACATGTTTCTAAAGGTGCTGTTGACTTGACATTTTCCCCGCATATGCAAAGAAAACAAATCTAATTAGTTTACAAATTAAGTTATGCATAATAAAATGAAATGAAGCATGGAAAAATTATTGAACACATGAAGAAAGCGGGGCGTAGAAAGGTAGTGAAAGCCAAGGCAGCAGCTCAAATCTGTCTGTAGTTATACAGCATCCCTCTGCCCTTCGTCAGTGTAAATGAATATTTCAGCCCAACATCTACATTAGCAGGATGATGAAGATGGACATTTTAGCAAGACAGTAATCCAAAACAGAACCAAGGAATCTCTCAAATGAAAAGAGAAAGAAAGTCAAGCTGTAAAACGGCCCAGTCGATCACCTGACTAGAACCCAATATAAAATACAAATTAAAGATCAGATTTGATAGACGAGACCCCCAGAACCATCAAGATTTTTACCATAAAGATGTGGAAGTCTGTGAAAACACTCACACCTTAGCAATGCATGTGATTTCATTCTCCATATGAGAGGTGTCTTTAAGCTGCCATCACCAAAAAAAAAAAACCTTTTACATAAAGTATTAAATATAGTAGTTCAGTACTTTCTCCTTCATTTGTCATTTCATTGTTATTACACATAACTAATCTTTCAGTTCGGGTTTTTACCAAAATGTGGTTCAACTCCATGTCAACAGCTCCTATAGAAATATTACTTACAGGAAAAAACGTGATGGCAGAGGGTTTTGAAAGAGTACAAAAACTGTATTCATTAACAAAAACATGAATCAATGGATGTTTCTATATACAGATGTGGCTACTGAGAACGCTCGTTTCTTCACACACAGTGCTGCAATTTGTCACGTGCAGTGCTGCAGCAGCAAAGACCGCCTTTTCATTTAAAAAAAAAACTTTTGTGTTTCACGCAATAGCCACCAGGTGGTGCAAGGAACAACTGCTTTTCTATTGACTTTTCAATTGTCGAGGGTTTTTGTCACATTTAAAAGGTATGTTTGTGCATGAAACATGCGCGTTTAGGTGCATGTATTTGTGTGTGAGAAACCGGGCAAAAGAGCACTCGATTCAGCTCTGTCGATGACGCGAGCGGCTGGGTCTTTTTCTCTTTTTATTTTGGAGATAATGAATACATATTTGTTTTCACATATGAATACAACAGAAAGACATAAAACTTTACAAATTACGTGTCCACTTTTGTAGGCTCAACACAATTTCATAGATCTAGATAAAATAGCCTAAGCTATATAGAAACCATTTAAAGTATACAAATTTCGGATATATTAAAAGCATTAAATAAACCAATATAAAACAAACAAAAGCTATAATGATTTAGGTATATAAAGTATAATATAAATGGATTACACCATTTTAAGTCATTTTGAACTTTAATTTTACAAAGGCCTATCTGAAAAAAGATTTGAGCATTTTCTAAAATGCATGTGAAGCATTTTTTGCTTTATCAATGTTTTTTAAGAAAATCTAGTCACATTTCTTTAAAAAAAATACAACCATCTCTGTAGAAATTTGTCCTCAAAAACATAAAATAAATCAAAGGTCCCACCTCTGCTCTTTCCAGACTCGTGCGCTCTCGAAGTAGAACTTTGGAATCCCACTGGAATCATACGTTCTGGATGAAGGCTCTGCTGATACTCCAGCTTTTGCTCCTTTTCTCCTGTTGAGTGTTTCTCTGAGCAGGCCTGTGAGACCTTGACTGACTTTCTCCTTGAGGGGTGAGGGCAGGAGGCCCAGCTCCCCTTGACTCTTCAGAGCGTCCTGAAGCTTGTTGAGCTGGAGACACTTGCTCCTTAACGTGTCAGAGATCTCAGAGAGGGTCTGCTTCTGCTGGGCCAGCTGCTCCTCCAGATGCTTGATCTGAAGCTCTTTGGCATTCAGGTCTTCATCCTTCTTCTTCAGATGAGTCTCTAATTCTTCCACACGTACTCTGAGGACTTGAGGGACCAAGCTTGATTCTCCATTGTTTTTGGATTTGGCCGATCCACTGACCTGCTTTAGAGGGTTCAGCTTCATCGAGCCATTTCCCATTTTGCTGCTTTAGTTTCACTGTAAAAGGTAATCAGATTCAGACTCATCAATAGAATAACATCATGTGATTAGATTAATTACTTTAAAATATAAAGCGTTAACATATTTTAATCCTAACTTTGCTTTCTGTTAGGGGTCTTAGAGGCAATTTAATGGCTTACGATATTAACTAACAACATGAAACAACTGTCTTTTATATTACTTAAAAGACACAAGCGAAGACAAACTAGCAATCGACAGCTTTATTTTGTTACTAACCAGAATGAACAAAGATAAATAAATAAATAATTTATCCATTCATTTTCTTTCATCTTAGTCTTTATTCATCAGAGGTTGCCCTGTCGCCCTGTCTTATGGCCAACTTATCCAGCAGATGCCCTTCCAGCTGCAACCCAGTACTGGGTAACACCCATACACTCAGCCAGGACACGAACCAGCAGGCGACAGTGCTAACCACTGAGCCACCATGTCACCCAAATAAAAAAAAATAATGTAAAAATTAGTTCATTGTTCGTGGTTAGTTAATAATAATCAATGCATTAACTAATGTCAGATAATGGGTCCTCATTATATTGTATTAACGTGTCGTTAAAATTAGCAACATTAGGTACCTACTTAAAAAAAAAAACTAATAACCTTATACATATGACAAAGGCTTAAAATTAACCTTTTTGATCACCAGCCGCTGTGGCTAGTAGTTTTTCAACATTAATAGCCACTCGCCATTTTCACTAGCCACATTTTTGTTGTTGGAAAAATATATTTTATATGCACATATTTGACTTTGGCATGCTAAAATTTTTTTGATTTAAATTTTGTGTTATGTCTACAAGCCTCCTCATTCAATAAACTTTTTTTGTGTGTTGTGTATGACCTTGCTCAATGAGCATGAGCAAATGGGTTGTGGTTTCATGGTTTGCATTGCAATTAGTTCATATTTCACACAACTTTTTAGGGTTCAACATTAAGGATTAACATTTTTTTTTCTCTGGCCACACCAAACATAGCTAAACAAATAATTAGTTCTTATCTACAAATTTTAACTAATAAAAAATACACAAAAACAAACAAAATATAGCTGTATACATGCATTGTATTTGGGAAGTTAATCTCCTATTAAAACAATGTTATTGTAAAGGATGATAATTAAACCATAAATAAGAAAAGCAGGTGCAAAAGAAAGCAGGTGAAATACCATGTTTGATAATAAAAAGAATGATTATGTGCACACAGTCAGTTAACTTTAGGCCCAATAATAATCTGTTCAAAAAATGGTTAAAGTGAAGCGGCAAAAAAACTCTCGAGCTGCTTAGAAAAAAAATGTGTCCTTGAAACCAGCAGGACTGTGCAAAAGAGCATCACTTTTTGTCCAGTCTATTTCAAAGAGAACTGATCACACAAGTTGCATTTGCAGGCAATGTTGCTTTGCGCAAGGAAACAGGAGCGCACACAATTTATAAACACTCACACACATCACATCATGTGCACGATATTAAAGCCCTCGTCAGTTAATGAAGAAAGCGTGCGTCTCACCGTGCACATGATCATCCTCTCATTCAATATTTACCTGCTTTCTTTTGGTCACACGAACATTTAATTTGTCAGTCGTGCTGCTTCTTAATAAACTACATTATAAAATTACTTCAGTAAGCCAAAGAGGCTAGTGGGAGCGGCTCTCTAACCCGCCTCAGCTGAAATCTACAGTACCTGCATTTGGCGGGTGTGAATGTTAAGCCCTGCATATGACCCCAAACAGTTTATAAAACAGTGTATCAAATTAACTTAAAATGAAATGCTGAAATAGAAATATTGCCTCTGCAACTAGCTGAAATGAATTATAAATTGGGGCAGCACGGTGGCGCAGTGGGTAGTGCTCTTGCCTCACAGCAAGAAGGTAGCTGGTTCGAGCCTCGGCTGGGTCAGTTGGCATTTCTGTGTGCATGTTCTCCCCGTATTTGTGTGGGTTTCCACCGGGTGCTCCAGTTTCCCCCACAAGTCCAAAGACATGCGCTATAGGTGAATTGGGTAGGCTAAAATTGTCCGTAGGGTATGGGTGTGAATGAGAGTGTATGGGTGTTTGCAGCTGGAAGGGCATCCACTGTGTAAAACATATGCTGGATAAGTTGGCGGTTCATTCCACTGTGGCAACCACAGATTATTAAAGGGACTAAGCTGAAAAGAAAATGAATGAATGAAATTTTACATTTTTAAAGACCGGCAGTTTTTTATTTATTGAGAATGCTGAAATGTTGATTTTACAATATTTTCATTTATTTATTTGTTTGTTTGTTTGTTTGCTTTTTATACCAACATCTCTCAGGGACTCAGGGTCAACACGAGTGTGTGATTGCACATGGTGTATTATTAATTATTCTAATGAATCGCAGATTGTCATTTTGTCCTTTTACCAACACAGATTTTTATAAATAATATAGATAATGCTGCTGGTCTTTCTGGGTGTGTGCTGATCATTTGTTGTCAGATTTGATGCTGCCATTTGTCTCCTACAGAACACAACTTTGATGGTAAAGGTTAGAGGACCCTCCCCAAGCCTTTCATCTACCTGTCATGTATCTCATTATAAGAGGCTTAGACAGTGCCACAAGTCTGAGTATGATACTCCATATTTTCACATCTCAGATAAAGAGCGAAAGAGAGATCCGCTGGCCCCAGTGATTTAGAGCTAATCAATAATTTAGAGGCACAGTAATACCGGATGGCACCAGCACCCTGTGAGTGTGCAGTAAACGCTCTTTCTGGACTGTCTGCTGATGTCATAGATTTCATTGATGGAAAAAAAATGAAATGGGATGTTTTGAATTTCACTATGGCTTACAAACATCATACAATGGACACTGGACTCTCCCACCACAGAGAAAATGCTGGAGTACAATCACAGCATTTACAGCACAAGACCTCATACAGATGCCTGCAACTCCATACATAAACTTTGTTAAAGACACAGTGTGTAACTCAATGAGACCGTTATTTTGTTTGCATTCAATCTAGATGGTGAAATCACAGGAAATTTGATTATCCTTATGTTGTTACATTATTGAGAGACTTGACTTGTGTTATTTAATTTAGACTGGATGATTATATATATATATATATATATATATATATATATATATATATATATATATATATATATATATATATATATATAAACTTGGATAATACAAAATAGAATGTCTAAAAAAAGAAAAAAAATATTAAAGGGAAATTTGATTATTAATAGAATTTCTAGCATAAAGTAAAAATAAAGTGACATGTTATACATTAATTGTTAGACAACAAGTTAATGTTTTGACATCAAAACAGTTTGAATCCCAACAAAAGAAAATATTAGTTGATTTCTTGGCCAATTGTTGCCTATTTTCTGAGGAATATATTTGAATTTCTTATATTACTACTTTTTCTCTTTTTTTTTTGGAATAAATGTTATCAGACCTGTATAGTATCCTATATTAACATTTTACTGAACACAATACTGAATGAATTTAGTAAATCTCTCTATTTTTTTCCAGAAATATCTAGATTTAAAAAAAAATACCAAAAACTAAATAAAATCATTCATTCAAAGGGATGTGATATCTTTACGTTTTTACATTACTTATTGTAAGATTTATTTAATTTAGTTGCAGTAGCCTATCCATCGTAACTTAACTAGGCTACAAAAATAATGTAAGGACTATCCTAACCAACTTAACAAGTAAAATGCACATCTAAACGAACAAAATATTAACGAACATTATGGATATTAGATATTCTAAAACACTCAACATGTTACTTTACAGTATGTTAAGCTTGGCTGCAGAAGCCATATGCAGCCGTTACACCTGTTCTTCCCATCTGTGAGCAGGCTAAGAGCTACTGAGAGACAAAGTTTGTAAATGGTTTTAAATGAACGAAAGCCCTACCGTTTTGTTGTAAAGGAACTTTTCTTCGACGTATCTGTGAAAGAACCAAAAGACGGCAGAAATAGAGCTGTGTATTCGGTCAGCAGCGCGGTTCACTCACCACACACAAACACAGAGTCGCATTGGGCAGCGTTTGTTATGTCTCCACGATAGTACTGTAACTACACACTCAGACCCTGAGCAGTCGCGATGCCGCCGTGATAGCAGGACATTTTATTGATCTCTCTCTCTCTCTCTCTCTCTCTCTCTCTCTCTCTCTGCGTCATTATTCAATTATTCATTCATTTGTTGGTTTGTTTTCTGAATAAAGATCCTGCAGAATGGATTAACACGTTAATGGATTATTTATTCATTTATTAATTTTCTTTTCGGCTTAGTCCCTTTTATAATTATGGATTGCCATTGCAGAATGAACCGCCAACTTATCCAACATATGTTTCAAGCAGCAGATGCCCTTCCAGCCGCAACCCAACACTGGGAAACACCCATACACTCTCATGCACACACACACACACTACAGCCAATTTAGCTTACCCAATTCACCTGTACTGCATGGCTTTGGACTGTGGGGGAAACCGGAGCACCCTGAGGAAACCCACGTGAACACGGGAAGAACATGCAAACTCCACACAGAACTGCCAACTGACCCAGCCGGGGCTCAAACCAGCAACCTTCTTGCTATGAGGCAATCTAGGTGAAATGCTATTGTTTAAATGTTAGCACCATGATTTGAATACCATAAATCTGTAGATTACTAATGATAAAATTTGTTGGCCAAAACAGTTTTGAGGTATTGCTAAGTGTAAGCAACAAATATTTGTCTTTCAAAGATTTGGGGTAAATATTTGATAGCAACTTGTCAATTTACATCTACGATGCTTGAAATGTATTCATGCTTTGACTTTCTGGCTAGATTATTGTAATCGGTTACTAATTGGTTGCCCTATAGTCCTTATAAACAAACTTTAGTGTGTTCAAATGCAGTAGCTAGAGTGCTCACTAGAACTGAGAAGCATGATCATATTAGTTCATATTGGCTCCGTAGTAAACATTGTATAAATGTAAACATTCTAGCCC